TTGTGTGTCAGGTTGATATATTTAGTGTATAAAATTCACTTTTTGCCCTTTTACCTCCATGTGTTATAGTAGTGTATTTAATAAATAAAACTCACATTTTGCCTTTTTTTTTCCTCTGCGTGTTCCAAAAATTTCTGTAGTGCATAAAAAAAAAGACTTTGCCGGTTTCGTTCTCTATATCCATATGAATTCTCTATGTACGCATACGTCATGCACATCATCCCATACCATATCCATACTACAGACATACACAACCCCCCCATACACGAACCGCCCGTCCCTTTCTTTCCCCCGTTGTGCCCCAGTCCCATCGTGGTTCGTCCTTGAAGCAAAAACGTCCTATGCGCCCACCCTCGTAATAGTATATATATTTCAAGCAAGGCCCGTGATCAACAAGATGGAAAAACCAGACACGCCGATTAACGCAGTCCACGCCCTGCCCCCCTACGCTGTCCTCCTAAACTTGGCGGGGATATTCTCCTCCAACACGTGTATTTTATCCCTCCGCCCCTGCTCCTCGGCATGCCTCTCCATCGTCTCGTGGTGCTTGAAATGCTCCACGTCTTCCGGGTGCGTCAGGTCCTCCAGCCGGGTATTCTCATCGTGGTACTTCTCCCAGTGATGGATCTCGTACTCGTACTCGTCGTCGCCGTGGTGGCCCGGCCCGGTGCCCAGGTCCGGCAGCGTCCCGCCCTTGGCCATGAAGTCGGTGAATTCGTCGTGCTCGACGACCCCGTCGTGGTTGGCGTCCAGCAGCTGCAGAACCTGCTGGACAATCTCGACTTTTCTCTCCGGCGTCATGTCATTGTTGGAACGGTCCATGAGGCCGTACGTGCGCATGATTTCTTCGACCTGCCACGAGCCGTCTGAGTTGTAGTCGTGGAGCATGAAGAAGGAGCCTGCGTCCCAGGACCCGATGTGATGTTCCTCTTGAAAGATGGGTTTGGTGTCAGTATATGCGCGGAAATTCTTATTTCGTCTTGCTTTTTTTTTTCGGGTTTTCAACTCAATTTTTTTTCTTCTCCTTTTTTTGTTCCCCCTTCATCTTCTTTTTTTGCTATTTTTTCTGATTCATCATCACTTGACTTCTTCCCAGGGAGACATTACCAGCCATGTGCTTGTCCATCCACGACGCATCCTGGCCGACGATTGGCTTCTGGCCATGACTGCCATGAGCGACGACAAGCTCGGCCAGCGCAAGCGATATCAGGTACGCGGCCCGCATGACGAAAACGAGGCTGCAGTCGGACAGGGAAACAGCCGGTCGGGGTGGCGGGAAAATAGGGTCGCAATCGCAAAGGGGCCGTGGCGGGCGGGTTGTTCGTCGTCAGCTTTCCAATGTTTGGTGCGCCGGCCGCTTCGATGATTATCGACAATGTCCTCTGCAATTGTCTCGGAGTCGAGACACTATCGTCAGGGGACGAGGGAACACGGAGAGAAGGCTGGCTGGGGCCACGCGCGCAAACAGGCTGGCCGGACCCGCTCGCCTGCTCCGTTCAATGTTTGGTTTGCCGTGTCGGCGGCGCAGCCGTACGTCGCGACTCGCAAGTACTTTGCAGCGCACGGGCCATCGTTTTCTCGGCAGCCTCAACATGAACCAACAACACAAACAACACACACGCAACCAGACATGAAGAAAGTCGTCTGGCACTAACGACAACGACCGTCTTGTCTTGTTCATGGTTTGACTCAAGTGTGGTCAACTGCCGTGTCTCAGCCGCTTCTGCACTCTTACCAGCCATACCAGAGCATCTCAAGCTTCTATGATTTGTTGCCGTTTAGCGCAAATTACTCGTGAGATCCCGCTACGCCCCAAAGTTCCTTCCAGAAATTCCTCAGACTCCCCAATCATAAAAATAAATTCCGTCGTCACTGCATATACACGTGGCCAGCATGCCTGCAACAACGTCAAACCTGGATGTCTTACCGAAAAAAAAAAATCAAGATAAATAATAATCGAACGCCGCTGTTTGCTAAATCGCATTAAAAATATGACAAACCAGAAATTGTTGACGCGGCTTGTTCGTAGATGTCGGCCTCCTTACCTTGTGACTTTCAGTGGTTCCATTTTCCCACTTCCATGACTCCTCCTTGGCTTGCACATCTGGCTATGCCATGTTAGTACTCCTTTTGAAGGCCCGGCGACCCGCGCGGCGTGACATGTGTTTCATGGGTTATGGTTGCTTTCCGTCATCAATTTTAAGGGTCGTTTCGCCGTAGGTAGCTAAAGACGGTTGACGGACGACATCCCCTTGTGATCGAGTCTCCGCTGTCATAATGATTAGACTCCACTTGGTGGGAGAAATGTATCGGGATCCGCTCCGGCAACGTTAATCTATGAATGGTTTCTTCTGGCCTCCCACAGTACACAGCCCGAGAGCACGTAAGGAATCCCGGTCGCTGGCTAGGATGATGGTCCTGGCCGGCAGCATGGGATTGTTCGGATCGACAGAAGACGCGTCTTTCGCCGCTTGTTCAATGGCGTCCATTTCTTCTTTGCAGGCTTGGTGATCCAGAGGACAAATCACAATCGGTTGTCGTAAGTTTACATCGCGAGCACCACTGAGTTGGACCTTGTCCATCGAACGTCAATAAATTTCCATTTCGGATCAAGGGGAAAATGGCAATTAAAGAAGAATATGAAGATGAAAACGGGGTGATACCTTGACGTTCAAGTAAAACTCAATCTTGTACAGCGACGATGTGGTTGTAAAAGACGAAACCTCGTACGAAGGAAAGGCCGGGTTCCCTCTCTTCACGATACCGTCTGCATCTCTCAAGTCCTTGGAAGGAAAGACGAGTCCGATATTGGTGGCATAGCCAGCTTCCGGGATTTTCATCTTGACCACCTGCACTTGCTTTGACAACTTGTTGATTTTTTTGATCGGCTCGTCTCCCTCGGGATTAAACGTGATTTCTTCCTCTATCGTCAGATGAATCTTTTCGATGTTGACTCGTTTTGCTTTGCGAAACCAGTCGGGGTTTGGTGATAGTTTGATATAAATTGTGATCGGATCGCCTGGTCCGTAACTCCATCGCGGTAGATTGATGCCGAGATGAACAAGATTGTCCGAGGCAACGAGCTTCGTTTCCGGCTTGTTGTACATCCCAAACGTGGACAGCGTGTCGTAACGTTGTATGGGAATTGGAAAGCTGTGTTTGTATTGGCTACTGTGGCCTTGCTGTACCGTTACCACGAGTTCGTAGAGCGTCTCTGCTGTCCTGCTTGGAAGCTGTAGCGACGCCGGTGGTATTCTGCGATTGGTTTCCTCTCCGCCGCGCCCAAACGGTATGAACAGAATAAAGGGTAGATCCATTGCGATGACGCTTTCGGCTTCCTTGCCTGTTGCACATCGGAAAAGCAGAACTTCTTTGCCCACGACATCGATGGCCTCCTTCCGTGGTGTACCGAGATGTCGCTTCGTCAGGCTGTCGGCATCGGGGTGGATTGTTTCTCGTTTTTGCAGGCATATCCGGACTAGTGACACTGGTACAGGCATTGAAAACCCTTGACCAGGGCGAATTTCAACCTTGCCCTCGATTCGTGGCTGACCACACAAGAAAATACGTCAATATAGTCAAAAAAGGCAATGTTGCGCGTAGCAGGAAGAACTTTTTTTTTTACATCATCATTGGTGCCCTTCGACAAGAAGACCCAATAGTAGAAAACACCAGTATAGTTTAAAAAAATTACGTACCATGGTTGCTGAGATACCAGGATAGCCCACGAGAAAGCCGCTATTTGGGGGTCCAGAAACCCTCACATTGGCTGGCGCGGACGCCATGGTGGTGTTGTTGGTCGCGCCAGCACGACGAAGTTGGCGGTGACGACAAGTGCAGACCGCGGTAACGCTTGTTGATGGGGAGGTTTGGAATCGCCAACGGCGAGCAAAGCCTACATGAAGGACGGCGAGATGCAGCTGTCCGAGTCGAGGTTGGCGTCAGTGTTAGTGTCACTGTCGAGGTCGAGGTCGAGGTTAAGATGCAAGTCGAGGTTGAGGTCGAGGTCAGCCTCGCTGACGACACCACCAAGTCGTTATTGAAGGGCGGCTTTATCGCCGGCCTACGTAGTGCAGGGTACTTGTAGTAGCTGGAGTGGGGCGGGCCTGGTGGCAGTGGAGACGAGGAAGTTGGAAGGCAGGCACAAAGAAGGCAGGCACATCTGGCGGGCAAACCACTTCGCAGACAAACATTGAATGAAGCCTCGGGAGTCTGGACCACGAACAACTTTAGAAAGCAACGTCGAGAGACAAAGATGGCCATGCAAGTGCCAGGAGCGCTGCCGGATTGTGCGTACAAACAGGAACAGAACTTGCCGACAATGAAATGCAAGACGCTCTCGCCTCGGCCGCTTGCCGGTCCAGGCAATTCGCCGTCCGCCATCCGCCGTTTCCCCTTTCACGATTTTGCGTACAGCAACGCGAGCTTGTTCAACCTACTCGAGGGCAGGTCCGGTTGGTGTCTTGGAAAGACTCCTGGCCACTGGGCACGACCCTGTGGCACATTTCGGCAGTTGGCTGCTCCGGGCGTGCTTGCAACCAGAAGCTGCCTTGAATGGTGCGCTCCCACCAACGCGACACACGCATGTAGATGTACCGTGGCTGCGTGTCGTGTTGGAACAAGCCACAGCCATGGCGATGACGGCCGCATCGCGTCGACGACAAATGCATCGTGTCTGTTGCAATATCATGGTTTCGTGCTGCAGGTATTAACTGAGACGTGACTTGTGATTGTTCACTTTGTTACCCAAGTTCGAGGATTGCAGTGTAGGTAGGTAGGTAGGTAGGGGTTATGCTCTTGAGGGGTCATGGAATCAGGCTCTCTCCGCATGCTCTACTATTGTAGCAGTCTCGCTTTCGCCCATGCCTGACAGAGTAATTTTCGAAGACAACTACTAAGCTTCCATCTGACATAAAAAAAAATTCATATACACATGAAATAATGTACGTCATATATATAAGCAGTGAGAGGCAACGAGATAATAAAAAAGATCAATACTCTGCGAGCCGTAGGGATCGAACCTACGCGGGCATGCCCATTGCGGTTTAAGCATTTCCTGACGGAGGACCTAAACACAACGCCTTAACCACTCGGCCAGACTCGCTTGGGCCAGGTGACTGTCAGATCAAGGGAATAACCACATATATTCCCGATCACAAAAGCTCGCAGAAGTATTCGACCGGTATATTGAGGCTCCACTTTATTAGTCCCTGTCTCAACTAGGAACTTTATCTCAACCTCATTCATGTCGAAGATCTCACTCGCGGCTTGTTCTATCTTCTGACACTTGGGTCAGCGCAGAGAGGAGCTCCCCTCGGTTCCCTTTTTACATGTTCGAAACTCATTCAGTGAAACTTCGTCTTTGACACTGCCGCCGTCATTTTTTTTCTCGGACTGGTATCAATCAGAATTCACCGAGTTCGGGCAGTATCGCCATGCCCTTCGACGACGACGACAATCCCGCCTGCGACGCAGCCCAGAGTCCAGCAACACAAGAAGGCGGACCAACCGCGGAAGAGGCCCTTGAAGATGGCGTTCCCGACTACAAGCTCTTCGCCTCCATGTTCAACAAGAAGGGCGTTTCCAGCAAAGTGATCCGCAAGGGCGAGAAGGACTTTGAATCTCATGGCACGCGAGCCCAGGACAACACACTCGAAGCGAGTCGCACTGCCCTGGAAGAGGTTCTCAGCTACACGAGAGTGCATAAGATAGACACGTGGCTTCGAGCTTGGTACTTCCCAGACTGGTGGGTGACAAACTCGCCGGCCGGCAAATCTGACGATGCCTTGCTGCAGGACCGCGTCGTCGTCATGGAGCACGAACGCGGCAACTGGATGCGGGACATTGGTCGGGCCGTCTCGGGCAGTAAAGACCAGCTCGGGGTCGGGCGGTTATGGCTCTTACCCGAGGAGGCCTTGTACCTGATTGAACGAGGCACGGTGGACATATGGTGGCCAGACAAGGAGTTCGAGGAGTTATTGCCGAGGGTTACGGACGGCTTACCGAAACGGAATCCTTATGGTCCCGATGACTACGAGGCCGGTCTGCCGCTCAGCCTGGAGGCAGCGTATGCCTTCCTCATCGGATATGAAGGCGAGCGCGGCAAGATCACGCTGCCCAAGTTCCAGGTGTACACGCACCTCAAGCGTGCTGGATTCCACGTCATGCGCGCACCGTCCAACGACCTTTGTCCCTCTCTCGAGTCCGACTCGTCGACACCGTCAACCTCACTATGGGAGTGGCTCTTCTCGATCATCTCCTGGGAGCGGCAGCCGCCGCGGCACAAACCATACGGACCCCTCGTATCGCCGGGCCTGTATCGCGCCTACCGCCCCATCTATCAACAGCTAGCATTGCTCCCACGCCATAGGCCATCCGCCACGCCGACACCACAGCAGGTCCAAGAGCCCTTCCGCGTGCACTACCATGTCTGGAAAGGCACCGGTGCGCCCTTCTCCAAGAAGAACCCGCCCGCGCCCGATTTCCGCATCGCTGTCTGCGATACTGCCGATTCGGGTGTACCTACTCTGGAGCAGATCGAGGCCTTGCTCGAATCCACGCCGTTCGAACCCCCGAATCCAGCGTGGCAGGGCCCTGGAAGACTGTATCAGCGGCTGAAACACGGGTATAGAAATGTGCTTGTGGCGGTTGTGGACAGGGGTCTGGTCAACTTTATGCGATTCGGCGAAGCGGCATTTGGCGAGGAGCCCCTCTTTGAGAGATTTGACTACAGGAATGGTGGTCGCGGTGGCAAGAAAGGTTCTCGTGGAGGGGGGCGTGGGAGGGGAAGAGGAGGCGGCAGGGGGAGGGGCAGGGTAAGAGGCAGGGGTGGCTGACGTTGATAGCGATAGCGATAGCGGGGTGCCATTTTCTCATGGCAATGCACTGCAAGCTAGGCGAGACAAGAAAAAAGTTCTTCACGAGCGGCTGATGCCCTCACCCACAAACGGCCTGCAATCCACACATGAACAGTTCTGCACTAGATAAAACGAAAAGCTGGGGGGGGAAAGGATATACTTTTGTATTTTATATTCTTCCGCATCGCACAGAGCTCCTTTGTTGTCATTGTCATGGCAATGATGACATGTTCTTGTCGTGTCAAGCTTATACGTCTCAAGGTGTAGGTACAGACCTCAAGTATGGGATAGTACATGAGAACTCCGAGGGGGGAGGATGAGGGGGTTAGTGGGACCGTATGTAAATACATGTAAGAATGTAGAGAAAGCTACAGCATTGTGAAGAAAGCCACAGTGTCAAAACAAGCACGCGAATCCTTCTAGAACACTGCCCAAGTAAACATCGCCTCGTTGCATAATCATATTTGCTCTAGTCCAGATTATCGCCAAGACATCCAACGAAAAAAAATCCGAGCCACCTCCAGAATTTGTGCCCCTGCAGCTAAGAATCAGGACCAAAATCTACCTGTGAGGTCGATGCCCGACCTCGGCGCTTCGGTCTATGGTCCCCGGTTGTTGTTTCGGAGATCCGCCGCTTTAGCCCCAGGTCGTTGGGCGTTAAGACGGATTGTGACGATGGCGGCGCGGCAGACCCGGGACTGGGTCTCTGACTGCTGTTGGAAGGCTCAGCCGGCTCCTCGTTGTCATGGGCGCTCGCTTCGGCGTTAACGGGACGAGCTTTGATGGTTTGAGCGCTACCTTCTTCATACATTACCGTGGTGCAGTCAGATAATCCGTCGTCCTCGTCCTCGTCGGAATGTACCGAGTATTCACGCCACAAGGCATCCCCGTCTCTGCAATCGTCGGACGATCGATCCTTGGCTACTTTGTCCGACAGGCTACCTATGTGGTCAAGGCAGCTTTGAGCAGTGCCTCGACCTTCCGGACGCACATGCAGCATCTTCGCAAGCAAGAACCCTCTGAATCTATCCGGAAAGCGTCGGTAAGATTTCACAACAGCATCGACCACATCATTGCACCAGGTCAGGTGATGATGAACTCCTGGTTTCCGAAGCTTGCCATCACGAGACGCTCTTGGCAACAAATGTAGGCACCAGACTAGAACAACTCCAAGAGACCAGATATCCACGGCTGTTGTGTAGTTCTAATTATAGTCGGGGTCAAAAATCTCCGGCGCGGAAAATCTCTCAGTGCCACACTTGGTTATCAACTCCATAGCATCCTTGGACAACCCAAAGTCCGCCAGGACAATATGGAGGGGATGCCGTGTCTTGACGAGGATATTGTTTGTACTTATATCTCGATGGGCTAGTCCCTGAGCATGCAGGTAAACCAATGCTGAAAGGCTTTGAATAGCGACCTGTTTTGTCTCGGTAACTTTTAAATCCGTCAAAAAGGTCAGACAGCCATGGGGCATGAATTCCAGTTTCAACTGGGGCCATGGGTCGAAAGTCGCACTGATTAGTTTAAGGAGGTGTGGCTGCAAAATGTCAGGACTGTGCCTATGAGTCAATCGGTTGAGGGGCATACTTACATGGCTCAGCCTTTCCATGACTTCGACTTCCCTTCTCCAGATTTTGAACATTCTAGAACGTTCTACGGGATCAATAGAGCAAATCCTGATTTTTTCCTCACTTAGCTCTTTGAGAGCATGACGACAGCCATCGCTCACATTGAAGCATCTTATCACGACTCCAAATCCCCCACTCCCAACCACCTTTTTCAAGTAGAAAGGTCCTTGGGCTAGCCTGTGCGACGCAGAAGCAGCTTCTGTTAATGGCACATTAAGATCCATATCCTCGATCAGATCTTCTCCCGTCGCGGTTCCTTGTTTGAACGTCTTAATCTTGTCGAGGTAAGACCGAGACAAACCTTCATGCTCAAAGGGAACAATCCGGAATGTCATGAGATGAGGATGTGCGTGAACAATGATATCCATTTTCTCAACGCACTCGTCCCCAGTGATGATCCACCTGAAATCGCTTCGGAAACCTGACTCTTGTGAGTCATATGTGACTTGAGTTCCCAACGTAGATCCTGGGTCTATGACTATGAGTCGTCCCTGGTCGTCAAACGTCACAGCAAAATGATAATTGCTAAAACGTCCCATTTGTGGGAATTGAATATGGCATTTTGGGCTGCATCCGAATGTAATCCCTAATTTAGATGCCGGGGGATTATCGAATCTGATGTCGATAAAAGGTATGTCGTCAACAATGTCCAAGTCTTGACTTTCGGTTTCTGAGAACTCATCGTCGTCACGTCTGGATGGTGCTACATAATCACGACTAGACTTGATGGCGCGGTATGCGAAGTTCTTAGAGCCAGTTGTGGCAGCGGGGTATATACGAGCGATGATATTTTCGTCGTCCATGGTGTTCGTGAAATCTGACGAAGAGTGTTGCGAATGTCACGACCTTTTGCCCGGGCGGCAGTTGACGTTTTAAGGCCCGAGTCGGGGACAAGTGGGAGAGCAGACTGCGAGAGGAGCTCACTGCGAAGTGGGCCACGAGGGCTATTATGAGCGGGTGAGTATTCTCCTGGATGTCTCAACTCTCGCCCACTCCTCACTGCGAAGCAGTCAAGGCGGCTACGTGGCGGTTGCTATTGGACGCTGGCCGCATCCTGGATTGCGTGCCGTATGCATGTTGGTTCTCTTTTGAAACCAAGCATCACAATACAATCAGGCTGCGCAAATGCAGTTGCCCCGCCTCCGGAAGCGGCGATGGGTGAAGCCGCTTAGTGACCCTGGTAAAGCAGCTGTGACTCTTGACCAGGATGCTTCATTGTTGTTGGTAGGAACCTGGCACGTTGTTTTAAGAGCACATAGTCTGGTTGCCTGGTCTATTTTCTATTTTGAGACACGCCATATTATCAAGTGGAGAAACTGCGAGCCGTTGGTGAGGTACATGCGGGTACTTCCACTACAGTGTAGACAGTACTCCTGAGAAATCCGCGTGTGGTCGATACGAAAAGGTAGCGGATACCTGCCTAGAATCCACCTATTCGTTCCTCTGTTGGTCGCAGCCCACTTTGTCACATGGGCCCACCAGAAGAGGGCGGGTGTGGCTGGCCACCCGTCGCGCTCAAAGATAAATATCTCGGGCGTTCGCGTTCGAGGAAGAGGACAGTCTCACTCTCTCACTTCAACCATTCTGTCGCATCATTATCTGGTGCTTGATCAAAC